TTGTAGATAGGAAAAGTACTTCTGGAATGGCTCACTTTCTAGGATCATGTCTCATTTCCTGGGGAACAAGGAAGCAAAATTCAATGGCTCTTTCAACAGCTGAAGCAAAATATATAGTTGCAGCATCCTACTGTGCTCAACTTCTATGGATTAAGAAGCAACTGGAAGATTTTGGGGTACTTACTGAGAGGGTTCCCCTTCTATGTGACAACACCAGTGCACTCAACGTGGCCAAGAATCCAGTTCAACACAAAAAGACCAAGCCTATTGATGTAAGGCATCACTTTCTAAGGGACAATGTGGAGAAAGGGTTGATCGGTATGAAGTTCTATAGCACATAAGACCAAATTGCAGATATCTTCACAAAATCATTAAGTAGGGAACATTTTGAAAGAAACAGAGTGAAGCTTGGGATGCTAAAGCCCAATTGAGAACATGATTCCTCATTATTTGGCTATAAAAATCACTTTCAGGTAAAACTAGCTAAAAGTGTTTTCTGTCCAAGTCTAACTCACTTCAATACAGTTGCAGGTAAACACACATGATGAGTATAGAAGCTGTAAATGTAGTACATGGACGATAAAAGAGGATTGATACTTTCAAATAACAGGTCAAAAACCTGGTTCTTGTACCAAAGGTGAGTAGTTTTGTGCATTCTTTAATACACATCTTAAAAAGGTACAAAACACAACTGTCAAACCGTTGAAACGTTGCACTTCTCCATGCACAACCGTTGTTTCAGAACCGGTCCCTATCTCTCTCTTCATAATTATCCATCCTTAATAAAACCCTTATCTTTTCTCCACAAACCATAAGTCTTCCATTAGAACTTCCTAGAGTACCTTCACTCAATCTTTTCAATAGCTGATACAAACTCCGACATCCCTGCCTCAGTCATCCCTGGTACTGAAAAAATTATGGAGTCCTTCGTTCCCTCTGAGTCTTTTATAACCACTCCTACTCTCCCCGCTGAAATCACACCTCACCCAGATTCCCCGTCTCTCTCTATTTCAGAAACCCCTAAAATTGTTGATCTGTCCTCTCTATCTTCTAAGGTTCCCACTAATCAAAGAACAAGTGGAAAATAAGGTCAAAGCCATGAGGCCATAGAGGGTTCCGCCATTGTTACTGTAGATTCCATGGTGATAGTGGTGCCGATTGAGGAAGAAAATATTGTGACTATCTTTGTGGTATCTGTTGACGATGTCCTTCATGAGATAATTTCTCAGAGAAACGAGGTGCAGGGTATGGGGGAAGAAGGAGCCATAATGATTGTTGAGGACGCTGCACTAGGAGAAACTACTAGGTCCTCACATGAGGAACCTGATCCCTCTCCAGAGGACCCAGGTCAGGGTTCTCATTCCTAGGATAGTTTTGCTCCTGCATTTGCTGTTGCGCCTCTAGACATTCAAGCTCCTAAGATGAGGTCCAACGATGAGGAGGATTTAGACAACCTGGCTCTTGATGCGTTCATAATTAAGCGAAGGTTGGTATCCACTCCTGAGTCTTCCACCAAGCGACCTACTACCAGGTTGCAAGCTAATGTGGCCTATGACTCTACCCTTCAAAAGAGCAGAAAAAGTAGTAAGAAACAAAGAAGGAGGTTGGTGAGAGATAATGTGCCCATATGTGATAAAGCAGTCCCTGTGGTAGAAGTAGAAGAAGAAACACCAGAGGAACCTGGTTCATTTGTGAGATGGTCCAAGAAGAAGAAGCAGCCTGCTTCGGTAGAGAAAGTTTCAACCCCCAGTTCCAAGTTGAAGGATGTTGTGAGTGAGTCCTCGATGTCTGATGAGGATATGTTAATCAAGTCTAAGGGAAAAGAGAAATCAAGTGGTGGGAAGTCCGACAAATGCAAGTCTGAAATTGTTCAGGAACCTGGTTCTATGAAGAGACTGAGGAGTGAAGGCAGTTCCGTTTCGAACCCCTAAGGCACCAAAAGGTTCTGTTGGGTCGTACGTTTGACCCAACAATCTCTGAGATGGCTGGTATGCGACAAGTTCTTGAAATGGTTGAGTTTCAACGATGGGGGAATCTATTCTAATTAGATGCACCTAAGGTGTATGAGGATGAGGTTCAAAGATTCTTTGCTAGCATCTTTCCTGTTGAGACCGACCACATTTGTGCTTTGGTTAATGTAGTAGATATCGTGTTCGATGTAAAGTTGCTTTGGGAAATTCTTAAAGTCCCTATAGTTGGTGTGTCCAGTGTGAAGGATGTGTGTTAGTATAATTTTCGAAATTCCATGGTAAAGGACAATGCGAACCAAAAGGGGGACCAGATCCACAAGAAGGCATTACTCCCTGTTTATCAACTGCTTTTCGAATTGGTAAACAAAGTTCTATTGCCTCGTGCTAAGAGAAGGTCCATGACTTCTAAGTCTGACCTGTTTTTGATGGAGCAACTGGATAGCTTTACTCCTGTAAGCCTACCTATTATTATGATTGAACACATGCAAAAATTAGCAACTTTCAAGGATGGTAATCATGGCCTTCCTTACGGGTTTATGCTTACACGGGTGTTTAAGTTCTTCAAGGTGCCGCTGGGTCAAGGCACGGTAGGAACTAAGAAGCAGACTTTCTCACAAACAACGTTGGAAGAATGTGAAATCATAGAAAAAAT